TGGCGGGCCTGGGCTTTTGCCTACACCGTCGGCCCAAGAGATGACGGCCCGGAAAGGAAAGGGAAAAATGCCCGGTTATGACACGGAGGGGCCTGCGAAGACTGTTGGGCTCGAGATGATGGGCCAGATCACAAGAAGCACCAATGGGCTTGGATGGTTGGACCTGGAGGACGAGCCCGAGGAGGATGAGTTCAGTCAGATAGGTCGTCCAGCGCAGTGGGCCGACCCAGGGGTGAACCAGAGGGGTGGCGGACCAAGCCGGGCAGCTGAACAGGTCGGGCAGGCCGGTCCTGGGTGGACCATGACTTGTCGAACCGACGCGGGCTGGGCCAGCAGTGGTCAGCCCGAGGTGGGTCGGACCGGGGCCGGGTGGACCAGTAGTGGTCGGCCCGAGGTGGGTCGGACCGGACATCGACCGAACCCAACCAACCAGCCGCCTAGGGGAGCAGACAACATAGGATCGATATGTTGGAGAGCTCCGTATGGGGCGCACGACGTTCCTGGGGGATACCCGGACCAGCAAGGAGGCTACCAAGGGTACTACGGCTCAAGAAATTCGAGCAGGGGGCATGGATTCTCACAGGGGCAGCCATGGAGGGCATTGGGTAATGACAGGTATGGGTCGTGCTATCCTAACTATGAGGGTACTGATGGGATAGTTTTTCGAGCTAAGCCATTGAGTTTCCAAAATTCAATGGGCAAGAGGATGCAGGCCTCTGGTTATATACAACTGAGAGGTGGTTTCAAAACCACCCGATCCTGAGGAAAGGAAGGCCTACCTGGCGTCCTTCTATTTAGAAGGTGACGCGCTTTAGTGGTGGGAGTGGATGGAGAGATCGTATGCGGCGGCCGCGACTTTGATCACCTGGCCCATGTTCCAGGAGGAGCTCCGTTACCAGTTCGGAAAATCAGAAGGATGGGCTACGGAGCAGCTCACGAAGCTTAAACAGACTGGCACGGCGGCTGACTACCGCGCAGATTTCTTCAAGTTGGGTAACCAGTGCAGGGGAGTTTCGGAGGACACCCTGGTGGGGCTATGCATGGCGGGTCTCAAACCCGAGATAGCAGCAGCAGTTAGAGTATTCGAGCCGGGTTCTTTGAAGGCTGCTTTTCGTCTTGCAGGTCACAAGGAAGAAGAACTTGCCAGCTGGAGGAGTACCATTGGCTGTTACACGAGGCCAAGTGGAAGGGGCAGCAGTAGTGGGATTGGAGGTAGCGGGGGAGGATCAGTGGCGGGAAGCGCAGTAGGGGCGAGCGCCGGGAGCAGGAACACTGCACCAGTGACCAGGGGAGGGCCCCGGTCCATACCAAAAGGGTTTGTGCAGCTCTCTCCAGCCGAGATTGAGCAGAAGAGACGGGAGGGCAAGTGCTTCAATTGTGATGGTCGATTCACCATTGGTCATCAATGCCCGAAGCCGGATTTGATGATGCTAGTTGGACGATGGGAAGACAAAGCAGAGTACGCGGCCGAGGACGTCGCAAATGGCGAGAAGGAGACCCAGTGAGTTAGAGAAAAAACCTTGGGGACAAGGTTGTTTTCCGAAGGAAGCGGGGATGATAGAAACTAGTATTTAATTATTTTGATTAATTATCGCATTATTGTTATTTCGGATTATTGGGAATACTTCGGGAATTGGGAAATAAATTATATGTCGGGTAGCAATAGGGAATTATTCAATTATTATATAAATTACTTGTAAGTGGGATTAGGCCACTAAGCAAGATTAAACCTAAACCTAGTTGTTTAATTTCCCTCTCTCCCTTCTTCTGGCCGTCGAGCCCTCTTCTTCCCTTTTCCCCTTGGCTGCCGCGGCAGCACTCCTACTTCCCTTTCTTCTCTTGATCAAACCCAAAATCCACTCCTCTTTCCCTTTCCCCATATCTCCGGATCAATCCCTAGTGGATCCTAATCCCTAATCATTCGGTAGAGCTCGGACTCGAGTTCTATCAAAGACCCTGATTTCCCATTATAGGACCACAAATCCCGACTCTTCAGCTTTTATTTGACTACCCAAGCCACCCATATCGATCCCCGCTGCATTAAAATGGTCCACAAATGACAACAAATACGTGCGTAATTTCAGGCTCCCAAATCTCGAATCCTTAACCCACCCTCATCTTTATGATATGTCAAATGCTTCCAACCTAATTGAAACCCTAATCATTAATCGTCACTCTCCCTCCCTCGTCTTCCGCCTCCTCCACCCTCCAGACCAAAACTTCGACCGTCGACACATTCCTTCACATTTCCCCTAGGAATTGGGTTATTTGTGAATATGTGAATTGGGTAATTTTTGGATTATGAACTGTGACGTTAATCTCAAACATATCTCTTTGTTTGCCGGGAAAGACCTCCGGCTCCTCGTGGTGGTCGTGGCGGACGAGGTGCCCCTACTATTGAGGCTGCTCCTTGTGGTGGAAGACCTCCTTGTGGTGGTGCTGGTGAGATAGTCCCTCCTGCTCGGGCTCGGGCTTGTGGTGGGCATTCCGGAAGTCGGCCGAATGATGCTATTGAACCGTCTTCATCGAATCCCACCCCTTTCGATAATGTAACTACATCTACATAGAATCAAACTGTTGACACAACTTCTCCTACTTTAGAGAAAGTTAAAGGCAACAGCTTAAACATATAGAAATGGGTGCAGACGGAGGGTAAGGTTGATTGCTGGAAGGATTTTAAGACGGTGGTGGTTGACAATTATTTGATGGGAGATTGTAGACATTGACATAAATCCTCAATGGAGGTGGAGTACCGGGCTATGTCTAATGTTGGTTCTGATATGGAGTGGCTTTTTCATTTGTTGGGCGATCTTGGTGTCTCTATTGCTTCCCCTATGCTGCTTCATGTGGATAATACCAGTGCCATTCAGATTCCAGTTAATCTAGTTGTCCATAATTGTACAAAGCATATTGAAGTTCATGTTCATTACATTTGTGATCTGGTCTGCACTGGTGTTATTCAGCTGTGATGTATTCCGATTGAAGAGCATGTTGCTAATCTGTTGACGAAGTCCTTCACTATCAGCCGCCATTGATCCTGACTAGCAAATTGATGCTTCGTGACCCACATCAATTTAGGAGAGGCTATTGAGCAATTTGACCCGCGTATTTGGCCCATGCAATTTATGTAGCCCATCCACGCACGCGTCTAGCCCGTCCATGCACACGCGTTCCACTCCTATTTTCTTCCTTCTCTTCCTTTGCTCGAGCCCTAGCTAAGGTTTATCTCATATATATACATTGTCATTGTATTCTCAAACGGTTAAGCCATCACAATAGTAGCTCTGAGAGTCTTGAGTTCTCCCGTGAACCCATGTAGTCAAAAGCATGTTTCTACGTAGAAGCGTTTTAGTGAAGTTGAGCGTAAAATCGTAAGTTCTTAAACTTTAAAGCGCAATTTTAACTACATTAGCTATTAAAACTATGATTTTGCGTGGAAGTGTTTTGCAGACCTAGAAACGTAAAATCATAAGTTTTAAAGCGCGATTTTGATTATATAGTCGTGAACTAGTCCTGAACATTCAAGGATACCACGTAAATTTGTGTCTTCGTTATTCTTTATTTCAGTTTAGTATGTCTAACAGGGTGCAAGGATTATGCACCTTGCATAACTACATCTGTGTTCTTAGATTTGAGTGGGGCCAGAAAATTCCAAATCTAGGGTTGGGAATTAATGACAATTTATTTTCTATAGTTTTCTTAATTGACTCTTATTTTTTTCGTTCTAACTTATTTCAATTTTTTTGCATAAATAGAACGAGTTTGTTGTGATCTATAATATGAGATCCATTTCCAATACATTTCGTGAAAAAATATTCATACTACTTGTTACCACCTTTGTTTTTAACTCAAATTTTGAAATCTTTGCACAGAAGGAACGAAATCTTCATGATCTATTGGATCTACAAATTTATGGGGGGGAAATACATGGCCTAAATGTACCACCTTATACCACCCTGGTATAAGGTGGTAACTGGTGTTAAACAATTATGAATGTGGTAAATGACAGTTTGTATATTCCTATTATCATGTATTCAACCATCATACACTATGGTATGTTCATACCATCATGGTCCATACCACTTGGTATGATCTTATGTAATTCCTAGCATTACTACCATGGTATAGACTGATACTAAATGTCTGGGTTTTTGTTTGTTTGAAGAACACATCAAAGTGAATATCATTTTGAAGAGCACAATTTATCTGATTTATCTGTGGAAAAAAAATTAAATTACAACTTAAAGCGGAAGAGATATAACATGTTAAATTTATAGAAAAAGAGTAGGAATCTTCCATGAAAAAGTGATGTGAAAGATTATGCATGATAATTAACCATAACATTACTAACAGGAATGGCTTCTTACAATTTGCCCATCAAATTCTTTGTTATCCTCGCGATACATGGTTATCGGAGAACAAAACTGTAACGGTCTCATTCCATTCCATCGGATTTGACGACCAATGTAGTCAAAATCGCGCTCTAAAACTTAAAAGCTTACATTTTTACTTTTTTTGTCACCAAAACGCTTCTACGTAGAATCGTGATTTCCCCTTACAAATGTAGTCAAAATCTACGTTTTAAAACTTAAAAGCTTACGATTTTACGTTTCTAGGTCACCCAACCGCTTCTAGGTAGAATCGCACTTTTGACTCTATTGCTGACGAAAATCAAGTAATGAAAAAGGCATATAAAACACTGGGAATCTCAACTTCCAAAGTCACCATGACAGAAACATCTTATCTGCATATAATTATCATAGAAAAAAAAACACGCTATAAAAGAAATGTTGCGGGCTTGGTAGACGTGCAAGTTTCGGCCGAAATCGGACAGAAGAAAATTTGATAAAAGGGTCGGTGGCAAGGTCAACTTGGCCACTAAATTTTACATTAACTCGAATAGCTAGCTACTAAATTTTATATATAGTCTCCGTTGCCAAACATAATTTCCACTATCTCTAAAACTACAAGAGAGTCCTCACACCACCATCCCGAATTAAATGGATCCGCCGGATCGTCCTCACGCGGTTTGCATCCCATACCCGGCCCAGAGCCACGTGAAGGCCTTCCTCAAACTGGCCAAGCTACTCCACAGCAGAGGCTTCCACATCACATTCGTCAACACCGATTTCAACCACAACCGTTTCCTACGCTCCCGAGGCCCCCACGCCCTCGACGGCCTTCCGGATTTCCGGTTCGCCACCATCGCCGATAGCCTTCCGCCCTCGGATCCCAGCTCGACGCAGAACATACCTGCTTTGAGCGACTCAATGAGGAGGCTCATGTTGGCTCCGTTCAGGAAGCTCGTTACGAAACTGAACAACCGTTCAGGTAACCCGCCGCCGCCGGTGAGCTGCATAGTGGCGGACGGGATGACGCCGTTTGCGGTGGAGGTGGCTCGAGAGATTGGCGTGCCGTCGGTGAGCTTTTGGACTTGGCCTGCTTGTGCGTTCATGGGGTTCGCGGAGTACCGCCGGCTCTATGACCAAGGCATCACTCCTCTCAAAGGTAAACTTACTAACTAATCCAACTGCATGCATGCCTTTTGTGTTAAATCGATCTATCGTTGGAAATATTAATGTTCGGAAATTTGGACCCGGTGTGGTGTGGGTGAAAGATATAGTGAATAACCCACGACCATGTAATTAAAAGCGCAATTGTTATATTTAAGCATTTTGGTAAATTGAAAGCGTAAGAACATATGTTTTTAACCTTTATTGTGTGATTTTGGCTGCATTGATAGTGGCCCCTCTCATCAAATCAATTTATATACCATTGTGATACAGTAAATTATACAATGGTGATGTGAACATATATATATATATATATGATTATGGTATTGAATATAACATAGCTATACAAAACTAATACATATTAATATAAATGATTAAAATATTATTTTTTAAGAATATATCAAAAATAAATATCAAATTCGAAGAGTAATAATAAATAAATATATTATGTCATGCATACCAAAGCACGACGGTGCTATTTTATATGTCACTAATTAACTAGCTACAAGTAGAAATTGTTTACTATATATTATGTCACTATTTGCCAAGTCTGTATACTTTATTATTAGAGATCATGCATACCAAAGAACGACGGTGCTATTTTATATTCATTAGAACCTTCTGGAATTGCAGTCTCAATAATACGAAACCTTAATAATTGATAAACAAGTTTGGAAATGGATTGATAGTTATTTCTAGAAGGATAACAGTATTATGGTTTATGCAAGATCCCTACGACTTAAAATGTTGGGTGCACATGACTTCAACAAACTTCCTGGTATCGCAGACAAAAGCTATTTGACGAACGGGTACCTAGACACGGTCACGGAAATTCCCGGGATGAAGAACATGAGGCTCAAAGACCTGCCCGACTTCATCCGCACAACCGACCCGGACGAACCGGTTTTCCACAACCTAATGGAAGGGGCCGAGATGGTCGCCCAGGCCTCGGCTCTGCTCATCCACACGTTCGACGCCCTCGAACCAGAAGTCCTGGCCGCCCTCAATTCCACGTACGGGCCCAACCGCGTCCACTTCATCGGACCGATGCAGCTCCTCCTCGACCAAACCGAACCAACTCGTCACCCAAACCTCGACGCAATCAGCTACAGCTTGTGGGCAGAAGAAATCGATTGCCTCCGCTGGCTGGACTCCAAACCCTCGAATTCCGTCATCTATGTCAACTTCGGCAGCATCATCACCATAACGGAAAACCATGTGCTCGAATTTGCAATGGGACTTATCAACAGTGATGTTTCCTTCCTGTGGGTCATTCGGCCCGATCTTGTTACTGGCCCATCGGGAGCTCTTCCTCCCGAATTCCGAGACAAGGCTGAGAAAACCGGGTTTATTTCTGGGTGGTGCCCGCAGGAGGAGGTTCTGAACCACCCGGCGGTTGGAGGGTTTTTGACCCATTGCGGGTGGGCGTCCATGATCGAGACCTTGACCGCCGGGGTTCCAATGTTGTGCTGGCCGGTCTTCGCGGACCAGCCAACGAATTGCAAGTTCGCCTGCAATGAGTGGGGGGTTGGAATGGAGATTGAGCAGGATGCGAAGAGGGAGGCGGTCGAGAAGCTAGTGAGAGAGCTTATGAAGGGGGAGAAGGGGGAGAATTTGAGGAAGAAAGCACAAGATTGGGCGGGACTGGCTCGGGAAGCTACTGGTCCGGGTGGGTCATCGACCGTTGGTTTGGATCGGTTGGTTAATGAAGTTCTCTTGAGGAAATGAGAGGTTGGGTTTTGGGACCTTTGGGTTGGATTTGGGCCTCTTGGAATTGGAAGAAGCTTGAGGATGAGGGGCTTGTGCTGATAAGAGATTGTTTAATTCGGAATCTAAGATTTCAGATCATGCACATGTGTTCTAATAATGCATGGGTTTATGTATGTTCATCATGCAAGTTGAAGTTGTGGTTCTCTGTAAGTAGCTCCTACTTGTGTCCGATTGAACTGATTTTCATCTCTTGCGCTTATGTTTACGATCCGCTAATTGTTAAGTACTTGTTGAGGATATGCGCATGGTTTAAGAAATCATATCGTACCGGTCGGTTCGACCTGGTCGAGATATCACATATCGAAGTCTAAACGATAGGCGATTTTAGCGATACAAAACTGTTCAATTAATCGCGATTTTAGTATAAAATAACCAATCACTAACTTTTCCAATATAACTTCGATTCGGTACGATTTTACAAACATAATTAGATATGAGATGAAACTCTGTTTGATGTCTGGCTTACAACTTACTTAATCCAGTTAAGGGTGAAGGTCCTTTCTGGCGGGTCTGATGAAGCTTTCTAGCTAGGCTCTCATCATTTTCGCAAAACATGCTTTCAAATGGGGGCAACTTCATGTGAAGAAATTTTGGTATGTGCATGTATAGTTGATAGGAGGGCATAGGATTATGAAATGCATAACTTGTTGTGTATAGATTTGGTCTTGTAATTTTTAGTGGAGGATTTGATGGTTGATAGGAGGGTGTATAGGAATTAAATGCATAACTTATAGTTATGCATTTTATTTTAACTCGAATTTTCAAAAAGAATTGCACAGAAGGAACATGTCCATTGTGATTTACAAATTGATATTCCAAATTGATTTACAAACTGATATTACTTGTTGATATATTTTGGAATTTTTGTGGGATCGACCCAATTATACCACCCTCTAGAATAATGGTAGATGGTGGTTAATACTTTCCTACCATCAATTTGTGCTATGATATATTCATATTTCCATCATACATTTTCATACCATCATGGTCATCCTACAATCTCATGTAGGGCGGAGCTAGCATGGAGGAAGAGGGGTTCCATGGCACCCCTCCCTTGTCATTTCAACAATAAAAAATATATACTTGAAAATGGAACTCATTTAGAATAGAAATAAGAAAGGATTGAAAAATCGTACCGAGGTTGTATCGGAAAAGTCAGAACTGGGGTATTTTATGTTAAATCGTGGTTCAACCGTTTCATACTGCTAAACAGTACTGCCTACCGATTTCGCTTCGAGTAAGAGAGTTTTTTGCTTGAATTGTCGATAGAGTATGATTTTTCAATCCTCAGAAATAAGTACTCAATTTCACCCTCAAGTTAGTTGTTTGGGAGAAAACTAAATTTTTTATTAAAAATTCACCAAAGACTAATTAGACTTAAATTAACACCAACACAACTAAATTCTAATTCTCTCGTTACCTACCTTTCCTCAAAAAATTCTTAATATTTTAAGTCAAATAAGCGATAACATCATAAATTTTCTTTTATATGAGATATTACAAATAAAGTTCTCAATAGCTAACATTTTCAAAGTATTAAAAGGCCATGACATATTTTTAAACTGGAACCCCTTGTATCAGATCATGGCTACGCCACTAATCTCATGTACTATAATGTATACCACCATCCTGCACTACGATATATTTCTATCATCATTATACATTTCCACATCTTATGTACCACCATGGTATATTATGATTAAAAATATTCCTCCAATAACGTTTTGTTCGAAAATATATCAAAGTGGATGTCATTTTGGTAGAACACAATTAATTTGATTTATTTATAAAAAATAAAAATAAAAATAGTGAATGAGATGTAATACGCTTAATTCATCATGAGGAAAACGTTATGTCATAGGTCAATGATTATAAGTTACTAATCGAATTTGCCCGAACTTTCGAGTACCTCTAGCAACTAATAGACATATAATAGTTTTTTTTTATTGAAAGGAGGTGGGAAACAGAATTTTGTTCCACCAAAGACAACCTGAAACAGACAGGGGGCAAGCGGCAGCCCTCGCTACCAAGAACCCCAAACACGCGCGCAGGCGGCAAAATTACCTCAAAGCAAAACAGAGGGAAAAAGTGTAGCGGGAGTCTAGACACTACTCATCCCTAATTGCTATTCGGAGAAAGCTAACTCCAATGAGATCTTCTCTAATAATCCGAGCTAACTCAGGGGGGGGACCTCCAGTTCATATATATCGAAGGCATAGACGAGACTGTGCTTCGAGAGCCAGTCCGCAACTCTATTCCCTTCTCGATATGTATGTCCAAGTTGCACCACCCAGTTCAGGCCAAGGAGGGGCCGAATTTCGCCGAGAATACTGGCATGAAGATAAACAGGGTCGCAAGGTTGTCGAATCAGTTCCAACGCTAATGCAGAGTCCGACTCCAAGAACAAGAACTGGATGTCGTGTTTCCAAGCAAGCTTAAGACCCTGTAGTATGCCCCAAAGCTCGGCCAAAATCGTGGTGACTGAACCAATCATGTGCACAAAACCTGGTATCCACTCCCCATCGCTATCCCGAATGATCCCTCCCGTTGCTATGTCTCCACTGTGACCTTGAGCTGCCCCTTCAGTGTTTAGCTTAAACCAACCAGCTGTAGGTGGCGACCATCCAATGAGCTTTTCAACCCGGGCTGGTTTGCTGCTCCTGTCCAGAGATCTTCTCGCCGATTCCCAAGCATGAGCCCACTCTTTGGCTTTGGTCACGACGTAATTGCATAGGGATGAAGCAGAAAGGGTCTTTCCCCTGAAGACTTTCTCGTTGCGTTGCTTCCAAATAAACCATAGAACAAGACTAAAGAAACTTCCCCACTCGCCTGGCCGAAAACCCGCCTTGCTGTCAGTTACGTTGTTTCTCAGCCACCTGTCTCTATCACTCGCCATGGTCGGGTGAGATGATCCATATGGTCGGGTGAGATGATCTTGACCCAGACAGCTTGGGCTCTCGGACAGTCCCAGAGGCAATTGATGGCCGTTTCCGCTGTACCCTCGCAGCTGGGGTAGCTGTCATCAGAGGAAAGCCGTCTTTGTTGAGAAGGGGCCATTTGTTGTAAGCTTCCAGCGCAATTGGTCTTCCTCCCGCATCATCGAATCGAAATGGAAGGCCCTTAAGGTTGCAATGGTTTCTTGGCTGAGGTAGTCTTCCAATTCTTCAAGCTTCCGACCATGTTCCTGGTGCCAGTAGTGCGCCACCTGAAGGGACGAAGGGTTAAAACTCGGAAGCTGTTAGCTTGCTAACCTTCTAAGGGTCAGAAAAATGACACACCTAGCAGCAGCAGGAGGAATATAATCAAGAAGTGATTTAGCGTTATATAGATTCCCCTTACAAAAACCAAAAGTGTATACAATTCTCACAATATAAAACCCGAATCAACTAGAGGCGAGAGGGGGAAATCCCTAATCAGCCTGCCGCTATAGAGAAAAGATGTGGTGGCGATCGCTCTCCACAAATCTCTACAGGCTGTAACCCGGGAAAAACTTAGGTGCACCCGGCGTACCAGCTAGGCTGTGCACCGCCCCAATTAAAGTATTCCATGTATATGTCTAGAAATAAATAATAATTAAGAAATCTTTATATTGTGCAACGGAAAATAGTGGCTGGATGGCGGGACGGTATTTCTCGGCGCCGATTTAGACTCCATCCCAAAGTCCCAAGAAAGCATCTGTCGTGTATCATCTCAATCCCACCAACAATCATTTTCCTTTCCCAACTTAATTGATTCATCCTCCTTGTCGTCAGAATGAGTTAATTTTTCATCAGAGCATATATCTTCCTATTAGTTCAATTGTTAATATTCGGGGAAGAAATTCTATGAAATGAAGCCTCTTAATATTCCACCGGCGACCGATCTGAATCCCTCGGGAAGGCCACCAGACGAACACCATTCCACGCCTGCTATGAGCGACCACCAGACCCCTTCTGCTGTTATAGCCAGCCAGCCCCCATAGATAAGCTCGAGCGACACAAACATGATCGTTTATCCCGTGCCACCGGAGAAACTCTCACCACAACGGTCGGGTACAACTCCTATATCTTATGCTAATGCTGTGTCCGGACAGGTTTTGGAGATTACCAAAGCCAGGAGCTTATGGACACCGGTTGGTGAACATGATCTAACCCTGGAACCTTCAATGGAGAACCAAAGCTGAAGGTGTCGAATGGTTTTAAAGAGAGACTCTGCATCCCATGGCAACATACGCTGGTTGTTCGAACACTAGGATTGAGAATCTCTTTCATGACATTCAGCAACAAGATCCAAAGCCCTATGGCGTCCGACAGGTCCTCTCGAGATCATGACTCTAGGACAGGAGTGCTTCCTGGTTAAACTAAGCAATGACACTGACTATTTTCGAGTGTTGACAGAGGGTCCCTGGGTCATTTTGTATCACTATTTGGTGGTCTACCAGTGGACTCCGGCGTTTCGCCTCTCGGACTCTCTGCCAAAAACCTCTCCTCCTGGCTCTGTAACTTTTCTTCCTGGAGTTGTATCTTCTCGGCCTGGCTTTTTAGCTGTTCTTCTTGACTTTGTATCTTCTCCTCAAACTCCTTAGCCTTTCTCTCTGCTTCAGCTCTTGCTGCCTCCAATTTCGCTTGGAGTTGTTGCTCCTTTGCTGATCTTGGGTTCTCCTTGGGTCCATACTTCAGCTTCTTCTTCAGGACCGTCTGAACAATCTCGCGGCCTGATACAGGCTTCCCCTCTGCCTTTGCTTCTATCCAAAGGGACTGCATCTCCAGCTGCACATTGAACAAAAAGTGTTAATGAAACAGGTGACACAGTTGGCTATGAACTTCTGACAATGAAACAATGCAAGTGATATGGTTGGACTCACATAGTTTTTCATAGGTTCATCCGATACCCAACTACCGTCAGCCTTCTGATACCTCTTTGCATAGAGAAGCAGATCTAGTGGCTCCTCCTCTACGGTCTCACCGTCCTCCATTTCT